GACGCTGACAATCTTGACAGCAGTGGGAGTTGGGCAGGAGCCCTGGGACTCAGGAAGGATAAACAGGGCCTGGTGGTGCTGCTCTGCGGAACTCGTACCCGGAACTGGCTGTACAGGCTGCACGGGTAAGTGCCCCTGACTAAGGACTGAGGCTGCCTTGGGCTGCGGAGTGGAAGCCGGGGAGGCAGGTTGGTCGAGGCAGGCAGGGAGAGAGGGGAGAGCAGCTCCCACCTGATATGGAGAGGTAGGTGCCAGGACCCAGGTAGAAGATAGCCCATCTTTGACCAACTCACATCCAGAAACTCCATCTCACCAGTGTGCAGAGGAACTCTGCATAGCAGCAGGACTGGTGCAGGAGCCTGAAGCTGCTCTCTGTATAGCAGAGAGGGAGGAATGGGCTTTGGGGCCTCACTGACCTCTCAGCCTCACTGTGTGGGAGCGCTTAGTAGTCTTCACAATCTCCACACTGCCTGTGCTTCCTCTACACCAGTGAGGGTATTCTAAAGCTATGTTTCTTATCTCTAGTGTCCACCTGCCCTTTCATGCCTTCTTTATGATCACTGTTTTTATTCTGAATATTCCTTTCCCTAAGCACAAATCTAAGACACTATATTTATTTGGAACAGGGGTAAACAGACAGGAGGACACATGGTGGCTCTCACAACTCGTTCATTCACATCCACTGGTCACCTCTTAGCTCTGCACCCCCAGCTCCCTGCACACTCACGATGAGCCTCACAGCACACAAAGCTGCCCAGCATGCACACAAGAACCTGGAATCACACATGCCTAGCAAAATTGGCAAAGTTGGGAGGCTGGGGTCTGAGATTCACAGTGCCTGATCTTAATTTTTCAAGATGAATGGCATCTCTAAGTTATGCGGAATCTGGAACCCACCCACCACTTGTTACAGAAAGCTATGACTTGACCAGGTTCACACAAAGTATTTTTTCTATTTTTACAGGCCAAAGGGAAGAAGCTTATGGAGTCCTGTGAAAATATACACATAGAGCTCTCTCTCCAGCAGCTACAGCAGCTATCAGTGGGTGACTTCTCCAGTAAAGGTATGACACTCCTCACTCAGCAAGCAAAGGAATTTTTCCTGATCCATGATCTCTCATTTTACCTAAGAGAAAAGAGAGTAACAGTATAAAAATATCTGCAGTAATGAGCAGATAGATCAGTGGATAACATGGGAATGAAAACTCACACCAGTCTATAGTCAGTCACTTAAAGCATTTTCTGTCCCATTCATAGTATGGGTGGAAGTGTGGAAAGGCCCTGGAACTGAGCAGATGCTTACAGCTTGCTGAATGTGTCACCCACCATGCACTGATCTCCTCCAGACCAGCGGCCATGATATTGTTAAAGAATCAGACTTCCCCTGGGCCTCTGCAAGTGGCTTCTGGGCTCCGCTGTGTGACCATTTGCAGCTTCATAGCCCAAAGCCTCTTTACCCATTGACTCCCAGCCAGCATTGAGCCATCACCAGCAGGTGCTTGTGGGTGATGCCAACGCAGGCAGAGAGACAGCACAGGTGTTGTTCTCATGTTCCCTGGAGGAAGGAGCAGAAGGTAGACTGCAGTGCAGTGAGTTCAGGGAAAGTGGGGATAGGGTGCTAAACTGATTTGTGGGAGAAGGGAAGCAGCCAGCTGTTCAGAGTGGTGGAGGCCAGAAGGTCATCTGGGACATTGTGTGCATTTTTGCTGCACAGTAAGTGCCAGGGCTACATTTGTAGGGAGAAGTTGAAAATAATTCAGACAGAAGTTTGATAATGACAGGATCCAAAATGGGGAACACCAAATCAGACTGAGGCTGACATGGAAACTGTGTGTGACTTAAAGCAGAAAGACTTCCGTCCCAGAAGCTCATTCTGCCTGTGAAATGAAGGAGTTGTGGAGGAAAGGGGAAGCATTTATGCAGTGAGTTGGTTCCAGTGAGAGGCTTTGGGGTGGCTGCCCCACAGGGAGGTCACTGGGACAGGAAAGTGACCAATCGCACCAAGTGTAAAAGACAGGACGAGGAAGGTGCGTCTCTGCTGGGCACCATGGAGCAGATCCAGAGGTGGGAGCTGGTTTTCTCTCTAAGGGTGGACGTGATGTGGCAGACACAGAAATGAAGAGCTGTGTGATCCCAGCCTGATAGCTCCCACATGGAAGGGCAGAAACACAGCTTCCCTGGCTCAGTCCCACTGTGCAGGACGGCCTTTCCCCCTGCACCTGCAGGACAGCACTGGGGAAGAGGACTGGGAGCAGCACTGAGAAAACACGCAGCAGGGGAGATGCTGGGTGCAGAGAGGGCCCGCAGGAGGCCCAGAAGGGAGTTTACCTTCCAGTGCACCTTGCACTGCTTCCCTCTGTCTGCTCAGGCTGGACCTGGTGCGCTGTGACTGAGTGCACACTGTGGGCTGGGCGAGTGCCCTGTGCTGGTGCATCGGGCGGGTGCGGGGTAGTCGGGGCATCTCGGGTGGACTCTGATTGCCCCTCAGAAGGGTCCACACTGTGGGCCCTGAGGGTGTGGAAGGTCCTCACTACCAGCTCAGCAGTAGTGAAGGCAGACACAGGGCAAAGACTGAGATCAGACGCCTGCTAGGAAAAACTCAGGTGCATCATGCCCCTCAGAAATGGGTTTCATTCAGGTCTCCAAAGGAAAAGCCGTCCTAAACTATGCAATCTTTACTTCTTTGTGCTTTTCCACAGCCTTTTCTAACCTCATCTGTGATGTCATAAAATGACCTGGACTAGGACTTCCAGAGAATAATCTTCTCTTCTCTTCCTGGACCTGGTGCTTTAGGGAACACACTGGTACTCAACAGACGGCTGTACTGACCCACGGATGTGACCTCATGCACCTGGGTTTTCCGTGCAAACATTACTTCTTGCCCATGGCTGGGGGCATGGTCACAGCCGTGTCTTTCACACACTGCCTTGTGGTATTGCTGTCACACCTGTTTTATCTCGGAGGCCTGGTTACAGTCTTCCCTTCTGCACCCCCTGCCTCCTGGGTGTGGTCCAGGCCAGCGCATCAATCCAGGACCACACTGTGGAGAGAATCCAGACCACAGACTGCCTGGCATCTTCTCATTTGGATCTTCGCTTTTCTGACGCTCTCCAGCTTGCTCCACCTTGTCACAGCAGGCTGTGGTGTGGAAGCTCGGGGGCTGCAATGTACGTGGGTGTTGTTCCCTGCTCCTGTCCAGGTGCAGATGGTTTATTGTCTCTCTCCCGGCTCTTCCGAACACTCTCATCCAGAGTCTCGTGGGTTGGAGCAGAGAGCACATGGGCTTCTGTCCCTGTGAGCATCGCAAGCTTCTGCCCTATCTGCCCAGCTCCAGATTGGCAAGCAAATCCAGCCCGGAAATTGGAGCTGCACTTGATTCTCTCACTCAGCTGCCTGCTTCCTTTTCTTTGTTGCCCTTTCTTCCTTGACGTAGATGCTGTCTGCACTCCTAACTCCATAATGCTAAGTACTACAAGGCTTTTGCCCTGGTCAAACCTGTCTCAGCTGCTTCCTGCTCATCAGCAGCTGTGCACATGGCTCCCTGTTGGCACACTTCCAGGACGCTGGGAGAAGGTCCTCCTAGATTGACTCCTCTAGAAAGTAAAGGTGCATCATTAGTTACAGTTTAGCCCGGCACAAATTAGCAGTGTCACAAAGAGTGGGCCCCAGTATAGTCCTTGAGAAGCAAAACCAAGACACCCTGGGGGCATATTAGGGCAAGCGACTGTGAAAGCAAAGGAATCTAAGAGAGCATCACTGCCCCTCTCAGAGTGTGACAGTGCGGGACAAAGGGGGCAGTGGGCGCATTCAGGATAGTGCAGGTTGGGCTGAGTTGAACACAGGGTCCTGGAGCTCAGTGCAGCCAGCATAGCAGTCCTGGGTCTCTCGTGAGCTTCCTGTGTCCTTGCATCCCTGTGCTTTTATTAATGGATTGGAACCCATGTGGGAAGCTCGGCCTCAGTGTGGACACAGCACAGTATTTCAGACACAGGCATGAGCACCTGGCCAAGTGCTGCTGCAAAAATATTCTGCAAAATGCATACTTTGCGTCTCACATCAGTGGGGTTACTTTCATCATATTCATTTCTTTTTATAGAAGCCCACACCGAGGTAATAACCATCTGCTTCCTGAGCTTCAAGAATGCTGCAAAGATAATTTTTTAAGATTTTTTATCGTTCTTCTATATGTCATTTGTCCTCATGTTTGTCCCAATAGTGATCTACATCTCTTCTTAGTAGGGGGGAAAAAAAAAAGGAGAGAGCAGCCAGGAAGAAGAGAAATATATCTGTACAGAAAGCAAAACTGTGTCATAAGTTAGAACTAAACATTGTGCATATTTTTAGTGAACAATAGATATGATTTTTTCTAGCAGTACTTGTTACATAGCACCCCTGAGAAATGTTTCCTGGATGAATTTAATCTGGGATCTTTCCAGAAAAAAAAACAGGAAATGAACATTGCTGAGTGAGAATAACAAGTGTGCTTAGAGTGCATTCAACAGGTGGCGGCCATGCAGTTTTAAGAAGATGTAAAATTCTTAATGTATTAATATATCCAAATCTCCACAAGATGTTCCAAAATTTAAAAAGCAATCCTGGTGGACATATGCACATCAACAACTGCTTATAAAAAGAAGGAAGAATATGGATGACATTTTTCTCAAAATGAAAATATGTGTGTGATAGTTCATGCACTAAAATGGAGACAGCAGAGCTGGAGAGGAAAGTTTTGGGTTTGAGGAATATTTGACAGAATTACTTACTAGATAACTAAATTAATTTAAATTATAAAATCATGTCATAAATCATGACATATTTCAGATATTCAAACTACTGAAACAGAATAGTATGTACGTATTGCAAATGTACTGTAAAATATGAATGGATTAATTACTTCAAAAAATTTGCATAAGCAGAAAAAAGAAGAATTATAAAATGTAAATCTTGTATTTATAAAATGAATTAAATGTAAAGAGAAACATTTTTGAAAATTATGTAAAATGGCTTTGAACTTTGCTAAGAGAGTAATTATCTTCATTCTAAGTGGACTTGGCATCATACGGAACATCTTTGTTTTTATGAATTATATGTGCTTTATTAGAGACACTAAAAAGAAATTTATGCATCTTATTCTCATTCATTTGGTTTTCACAAATATCATCCTACTTCTTTCCAAAGGAATTCCAACAACAATAGCAACTTTTGGGTTAAGAAACTTCCTAGATGACAACACAGGCTGTAAGATTGTGGTTTATTTGGAGAGGATTTCCCGGGGCCTGTCCATCTGTACCAGCGCTCTCCTCACCGTGGTCCAGGCCAGCACCATCAGTCCCAGGCACTCCAGGTGGAGGAGGCTCGAGCCCAGGACTGTCTGGCATGTGCTTCCCCTGCTTCTCTCCTTTTGGGGGCTCAATTCCATGGTAAGCATCAATTTACTCTATATTGTCACAAGTACCTACAGGAACTCATCACACAGCAGTGAAAATGACAACTATTGTGATTTTCTACCCCAAAGTCCGAAAATTAACTGGATTTTCCTCAGTCTCCTGGCCCTGAGAGACACTGTGTTTCAGGGCATCATGGGTGGGGCCAGTGGCTACATGGTATTTCTTCTCCACAAGCACCATCAGCGGGTTCTCCACCTGCAGAGCTCCAGGTTTGTCTACAAAACTCCCCCTGAGATCAAAGCTGCTCAGAGTGTTCTCCTGCTGATGCTCTGTTTTCTTACCTTTTATTGGGCAGATTGTGTCACATCTTTGTATTTACATTTCTTCTCCAAGACTGACTCTGTAACAATAAATCTTCAGGAATTTCTGACCATTGGTTATGCAGTTCTCAGCCCTTTTGTGCTGATTCACAGGGACGGACACCTGGCTGAATGCTGGCATGCTCTGGCAGGTAGAAAGATGACAAACTAGAAATTGTCTGTTGCATTTATCTTTTGACAGGTGAAGAAGAATGAACTCTTCATTCTGTTTTGCTGTGTGTGAAACAGCATCTCATCAAAGTGCCTTAAATGTGTGAGGCTTTGTTGTCAGACAGTGGTCCTGGTGCCCTGCATTCCTGAGCTGACACAGCAATCTCAGAAAATTCAGTGCTGGATGTCATGGTTCCTGGCTGAAATCCCAGCCCTCTGGGAGCCTGAGACAGAAGTGTCTCGGGTTGGAGCCCGGCCTGCACAAGCAAGGGCCTCAGCAAGGCGCTGGCTAGAAAGGAAGAAATCGGTGTGGAGTGAATGCCTTGGGTTCACTCTGAATTACTAACACATATGCACACACTCACCCATGAGTCCTGCAGAAATCTTATGCTGCGCTCGGGAACCCACAAGAAGTGATTTCATTCTGATAGGGAAAGCTTTTATAAATAGTAAAAACTTATAAAGTGTTACAATGTAAAATGGCTTCTGCTGTCTCTAATAGCAGTTTGTTTTGCTCAGCACTAATAGTTACCAAAGGCACTAATTGTTGAATGAGGCCTTTGGTCTCACCCTGAGATAACAGGGCACATCAAGTTCTTGAGCCCCGAAGAGACTGGAGCCACATGATCATAAGAGTGTCTAGATGAAAGAACCTGTTGCTGAGATTTGCTCCCCTGAACCTGAACACCCCCTTCCTATGGATTAGAACAGATAACTAGACGAATCTTAAAGGTAACTCCCCAACTGCAAAGAACTGTTACGTCTGGGTTGAAAAGATTAACTATCATGTGACTGTGATTTGAACTATGAGAATGAAATGTAACCACCCAAATGAAGTCAACCCTATAAAAGGAGGAGTTGTAACCCAGTGCATCATCGATCCAGGCGTGGCTTATGTGTGATCGACCCTTATTGATGAGTAAATTTGTTATTTTACTTCCATTCTGCTGCCTCTCTGTGTGTCACTTACTGATTCCTTCCGTAACATTTGGTGCATTGGACAGGAAGGAAAGGGCTAACTGACATAGCCCATGTTTGGCCTTGACCAGTGGGAGTGGCTGTCCACCTCCTCAGAAGGGAAGAGGTGCCCCCGGGATTTCCTGGGTTCCCTTTCTAGGACGCGGAGGCCAGCTCACTGGCAGCAGATCACTTGAACCCAGAGCAGTGACAGCAGAAGGAAGGTGAGTGAGAGAAATTGTCTGTCTGAATGATGAGATCCCCTGGGTTGCTCCCTAGTTTGTCTTGCTTTGCTTTGGTTCTTAATTGAATGTTTGGGTAGATTACAGTTTGGAGGCCTGACTACCCTCCTTTCTCTGCCATTTACAAGGTTTTATATCCTCAATTTGGGCAAAATATAAAGTGTTGGCCTAATCACCCCCCACTCCTTGCCATTTGTGAGAGTTTTGTTTGTATACTCTCAATTTGTTAATGTATTGTTCTTTGTTAGGGGCCCCAGGGAGGGAATGTGTTAACTTCTTGTGTGACTGTGTATGTAAAAGAGACTCAGGAGAGTGAGTGGGATGAGCTATGAAAGGCATCGGTAGTCTCATCTGTGCACCAAGACAAAGGGAGAGGCACTTGTGCTTATAGAGCCCTCCCAGAGTTGTGGAGTTTGTGTGGGTCAATACTGAGAGTCTGTGGTTATGCTTAGAAAGGACAAAATAGAGACTATTGTGATGAGAAGTTCTCCATAGTCTGAGTAGACCAGAAAGAGCTGGGAACACACAGGCAGGCTGACGAGCAAATGGGACTTTTCTCCAAAACGGAACCCCACCCTTTGTTTGTCTTTTGTCACTGGACAAGGAAATAGCTAGTGGTCATGGGAAATGCTAATACTAAACCAACTGCTCTTAATTGCATGATTCAGAATTCTGATAAAGGTTTTGTGTGGGACTATGGGATAAAACTACAACCAAAGATGCTTAAGAAACTTTGTAAGTAAAAGTGGCCTCAGTTAAGCCAGACATGGCCACTAGAAAAAAACTATCTCCCTTTGTTTTTAACTGAGACGTTGACAGCTTGGAGCCTTGTACTCTCTGTTTTGGAGCCTGAACAACCCAGCCTAGGAACTGCTCAAGCTTCTGCTCTGAGGCAATCAGCTGCTGATGAGAACTATTTAATTTTGGTCTTAGAACAATTGCTTGCCAAATCTCCTGTTTTTCACACAGTGAACTTGCCTCTCTCAGAAAATGTGACATCGTTGAGGGCAAATCCCATTACTTTCCCTTTGGAGGAGGTCAAGCTGCTTCCCCCTCTGCTTGAGTAGCTAAGATCTCACGTGTGGAGGAGGTGGCAACAAAAACATAATTGCTTGGCTTTACTGCACCAGAGGGTGCAAATGGGAAACCATGGTCGGGCTCAAAAAAATGAAACAGGGCTTGCACTTAGATTAGGAAGAACTAAAATGAGAAAATAAATCTTTGATGGATTAAAAACCAGTAGGAAAACCCTGAAAAACATACAACAAAATTAGAGAAAAAATGGTGCAAGCCAGAGAAACTGCAACTGTTTTACCAGGCATCGGAGATTTTACAAGAAAAATCAAGTTACAAATTGTAACTATTTGATAAATATATTTTGTTTCAATTTGAATTAGGTTTAATTGTGCTTAAAACACTTCTTATACATTGCAAATTCTTGAATTGCAATTACAGGGTTAACTTGCTTTTTTCTATACTTTGTTGTTAAAAAAATTCAAGGTTAATACTGTTCTATTGGCAGCCAATCAAATTTTAAGATGCAACAATCTGAGAACAGAAAAAAAAGGACACTTTAAGATTTTAACAGCTGAAGTTTGTTATAGAAGGTTAATAGTAAATGAGATAAATAGAATATTAGGAAACTATAAGTAAAAGAGATATAATTTTAGCTGGGGGGTGGTGGTGCATGCCTGTAATCCCAGCCTCAGGAAGCAGAGGCAGGAGGATCCCTGTGAGTTCAAGACCAGCCTGAGCTACATAGTGAGCTCCGGGTCAGTCTCAACTACATAGTGAGACCCTGTCTCAAACTCCCCCCGCCCCCCAAAAAAGAGAGAGAGATACACTTTTGACATAAAAGGTTTTTGTATGTTTGTCTTGTTAGAAAGAGGTAAAAAGGATTTACAAGACCAGAAGGCCTAAATATATAAAAAAGGTATGCAGAAACATTTTTACAAGAAAATGTGTATGTTTGCTTGTTGGTTTCAAGTTTGTTATAAAAGATTTACATTTACAGTCATAAAGAGCTTTCATTCCTTTTGATTCTATTTCTACAAGAGATCTTGGTTAATTGCCCTGCAAAAGTTTTGACTAGTTGTAACTAAAAGAAATTTTATAATTCAATGCATTTGAGTGCACTCTAGTTTCATCAATTGTCTTATATGTTTGGCTGTGTCTGTCTAGTTGTTTGAAAAGTGTTTGTCCAATTATATTTTTTGATTGAAATGATGTCAAGGATACAAATAATTTGTTAATTTCTACAACCTGGTTTTATAAGTTAAAATTTTGTCAAGATGATTAAATATAAACTCTTAGGTCTGGATAGACTCCTGCTAATGAAAAAGAACAGTTTCTCAGAAAAATTTATTCTTGTCTTTATTCACTAATGTGAGCCCCAATAGTTTTCATAGCCTTCTGAAAAGATATACCTCCAATAAACATCGCTAAATATGTTGTTATAAAATGTTTATATTGGTTATCATCAAAGGATTAGATTCTAAATATATTATTATGATATGTTTGTAATGGTCATTTTCAAAATATGCTATGTTCTGTGGGAAAACAAAGAGTTATTAAGAGGTTTTATTGAAAATGTGCTCTTGATATCAAATTAGACTAAAGGGCATAAAGTTTCATACATATTATTATGATTATTATTGTTAATTTTCTGATGTACTAAATAAATAGAAACTTCACAGGGTATTAAGAAACTATTGATGCCGCTTCAAGAGGCAGAATATCAAGTTTCATGGAAAAGGCTCAAATTTGTGTACAGCAAGTCAGATAGTTAGGATTCCAAGTTTCCAAAGGAATATGCTGCTTGGAAGATAAAAGGACGAAAGCAGCTGAGAGCATTTTTGGGTGGCATCAGGTTTTTATAGGATCTGGATTCCACTGCTTGCAGAAAGGACTGAAACTATCCCTCTCTGCTGCCCCTGTGTTGGAAATCCCAAATGACCCAGCCTTTTAATAAAAAAATCATACTGATTTACGGGTGCTCACTTTAGGGGTGCTGAGATGATTTAGCTAAGCTTCTCTTAACCAAACTTCTCAAACTGACACAGTCAACCATCACAGAGGCCAAAGGTCCCCAAGTGATATCTTTCCTCATGTCAGAACCTTTAGAGGGTCCAGGTGTCACATGGCAAGAAACCTGTGGGGTGAATGCCTCTGAATGGCCAGCTCCTATTTCTCTATTTATTATAAAGCTCCCAGGATCCAGCCTTGGTAACTGATCTTATAACTCCAAGGGTGGGGCCTGGTGGTTTCTGGAGGCTGAGGCAGAATGATGGAAAATTCAAGCACAGCCTGAACAATTTAGTGAATACTGTAGGTGAGACTATAATTGAACAGCTGGATGATAAAAAGTGACTCACTAGCTAAACATCACCAGCTTCAGAGTTACCTCCCTGTCCTTCAGGAGTTGGATTCCAGGTTCTTCTTGTCTTGAACAAAGTATTAACAATATGAGCAAAAAACAATAGTAAAATTTATTCAATAAAGTAGAAGTGAAGAATAGGAAGAAACTGGCTCTTCAGAGTGAGCTTGGGCAGAGTAAATAGAAAAATAGGGTGAGTGCAAGGATAAAAGTAAATGTTACAGGGCTGGGAATTTAGCTCAGTGGTTCCACCACCTGCTTTGCAAGTGGAAGGTCCAGAGTTCAATCCCTGACACAAAAATAAAAAAGGTACATGCCACATCAGGGAAGCACTGAGTGGGCTACTGTGGAGAGTCATGATAGCCTACCTTGCTGTGTTTTTTTTTTAATTGAATTTATTGGTACAATCTAGGTATACAGTACAGTTACATTCATCATTGGGATTCTGTACCTTTACATAATAGGTCTTGATTCTCATTTTTCCCCTTTACCTTGTTTTTCGTAACAGCTGTTCAGCTTGTTTACACTCCCACCTACAATGTGTGAGGGTTTTCTTTTCACCACATCTTCAGAAAACTCATTGTCTTTTATCTTCCGGATGTTATGCATTCTTTTTGTAGTGAGGTGATATCTCACTTGTTTTTCATTTTCATTTCACTTATGATAGTAATTTTGAGCATTTGTATATCTTTTCTAGATAACTGTACATATAGCAGAATGTATAGCACAAGGTCCTGAGTTTGATCCCCAGTATGAAAAAAAAATTAATGCTGAATATTTGTTCGTGTGCCTATCCATTTTATATATGCCTTATTTGTGGTATTAGATGTGTTCCAGGCTCATAGTTTGCAAATATTTCTCTGATTTCATGGGCTGCCTTGAATTTCATTGATTTTCTTTTTTTTTCTTCTTATTGAGTTTATTGGTACATTTTAGGTATACAGTACAGTTACATTCATTATTGGGATCCTGTACCCTTACATGACAGGTCTTGGCTCTCATTTTTTCCCCTTGTCCCCTGCCCTTCCTTCACTCCCTCCTCCCCTCCCCACTTACAAACCTTCATTTCCATTTTTTCATTTTTCTCATATTTTTTTATTTTCCCTTATTACCTTTCCCCTACAGTTCCTGCATCTGTTTCTTAACTACCTTTAGCTCATCCATGCTTATGCCAAATGCACATATTTTGAGGTGGTGTACTCTGGTCTCTGGAACATTTGCTGGATCAATAAAAATCTTCCCTGAAAAGACTTCCCTACCTCCTTCCTCCCACTATTTCATATAATGTATTTATAATCATATATGGAACAGTTTTGCTCTGCCAGTATTGGAGGTACTTATGAGACTTAATAAATCACATGATAAGATACAGCACAATTAAATGCATTTAAAAATGGGGAATTCCTTTATTGTTACAATATAGAAAAATATTTGAGGCAATACATTTTATATAAGTACTTTAAAATATTTTCATATGTGCATAAAATATACACACATAGCAATATAAAGTAATTGTATTAATCAAAAAATTAGAACCAGTTTTTTTTATTTATGTATAGGTTCTAAGAAGTCTATATATCATATATTTCATCATATTGTAATATGAATATAAATATGAACACAACTCATGTAATTTATAGAAGCAATATTCTGAACCCTAACCACACGGTTTCAATAAAACCTAAAATTAATTTATAAATATTTAACTTTCTTTATAGATTTTAACCTTATTTATGTTTATTTATTATGATTGTATGCTTGCAACTGAAATCCACTGCAAAAGTTTTCTACTAAGTTTTAGATTTAGTTACCCATATTTTCATTTTGATTTGCTATGGATGTGGAAGATATTTAGTTTGGTATTGCCCTACTTGATGATTTTTTCCATATTTTTCTGCTTTGAGGTAATAACTGAAAACCCATTGAAAATCTCAAGGCAAAGGAGTGTTTCCTGTATTGTACTTGAGGTGTTCTCCAATTCTAGGCTTAACATTTAAATCTTTAATCCATTTTGACCTGGGTATTGTGTACAATATAAGAAAAGTACCCAATTTTATCTTCTTGGATGTCAGTACCCATTTTCCTTATTCTGTCTAAGGAAGAAATTCATGGGAATACCTTGGCATCCTGTAGAAAACCTGTTACACCTTTCTCATGAGTTAAAGAGTGAATCACGAACTGCTACCATTTGCTGAGATACCTAAGTACAACAGGGATCATTTAGGCCAAGCACATGTGCCACATGCTGACACCACCCTCCAAGGGCCAGATGGCCAACACTCCAACTATAGGGGAGAATATGAACTGTGAGACTCAGAAATCTTTGGCATTGACTAGTAAATCATGCCATCTGTAGAAATGGAGTAGCTGAGGATGCCAGTATCTTCCACAACTAAAACCTTCTAACTAGGACAGTGCTCTAATTGCAAACGTATGTTTTGTCTATTCTTCCTAATCTAGAATGTTTTGTCTTGTCCTTTATGAACATTGTTTACATTCATTTCCATAGAAACTACACGTAGCTCGCCTTTACCCCAATTGATTGCCAATAAACTCAGTGCCTGGAACTGGGGAGGGCCTTTGTCAGTTGCACCAGCATTGGTTGTCCTGGCCCCGGCTTTCTCTCCTAGTTCTGTCTCTTAGTGCATTCTTTTCCTCAGGACTGCGTTGTATACTGGGCAGGGTACTGGAACCTGACTGCAGGGGTCTCTGGTTCTCCTCTCTCTGTCTCTCTCTCTCTCTCTCTCTCTCTCTGTACCTCTCTCCCCTCCCTCCTTCCCTTTATTCTCCCTCCCTTCCTTTCTCATTCTTCCTTCTCTTCTTCTTTCTCTTTCTTTATCTTTCCTCCCATCCTTCCATCTTTTCCCTTCTTCCCCTCCCCTCCTCCTTCTTACCCACCCGCTTTCTTGACAATGGATTGAATCCAGGTTATTTCCACTGAGCTCTAGCTCCAGCCCTATTTTACTTTTCAAGACAGGCTACCACTATGTTGCCATTTTGCCTAGGCTAAATTTAAACTGTCTCTCCTCCTGCCTTAGCCACACAGAGTGCTGGGATTATAGGTGTGCACCACCACACTCAGTTTCAATATTTCTAAGGTAGGATTGGGGATTTCACTCGGTGGTTCCACCACCTGTCTTGCAAGCAGGAGGTCCTGAGTTTGATCCTCAATACAAAAAAAATATATTTCTAATGTGAGATCCACAATTAGAAATCATTGCCTTTCTGGTGATTGCATATAATATTTTGTCTCTGTTATCATTTTTAGCATCTTGGTTATGACTATATTAGATATGAAATTTTCCAAGGTGATTCCACAGAGGATCTTCAGGGATTTTTAAAATTAGAGGTTAATCACTTTGAACAAATTTGAAGAGTGTAGGCATCTTTAAGTAAATTTGGTACAGAGTTCATCTTATTTATTGGTAAAAATCTATATAGTTACACATCTAAGCTAGTTCATGTGCTCCCAGGCAATCTGTGTATACAAACGATCAATGTTCATGGGTTCCGTTTCCCATCTCCTACTCCTTTGAGTTTCTAAAATTTTTATTTTGTGCTTCTCTATTTTTAAGGATATTCTGCTCCTGATTCTAGATATGATTAAATTTTCTCAATACAACTGTGAATTTTAGAGGGAAACATATATAATGTCATTTATTTGGAGAAGATGAACTCTAGGTGAACCGTAACTATTTTTGCCAGTGGCCATAAAACATTTCCTTATTCACCCAGATACTTTCCATTTATGATGCTCAATCATCTCTCCAGGCTACAGCTTTCCAGTGGCCCTCCTAACTGCATTTCCAGGATTGACATTTCTACCTTGGAACCACTAACCACTAACCTTTTCAGGAATTGCTTCTTTTGTTTTGTTTTCCACACTAGACATTAGGAAAAGACTGTTACAGGAAAGCAAAGAAACTAAAATAAATTGTTTACTACAGTTGTATGGAAAAGATAAACTGCTAAAAATATTAGAGTGTGACATAATAACATTAATTATTTGCTTAAAATCTGCCTGGACATGCTGCAAGCCATCATGAATAAATAGCAACCAGCCTGATTTACTAGAAAAGTAAAGCATCCCAACATGTAAAAGGCCTGAAGGGAAACAGAAGAGGGTTTCTTAATAATGCAGTGGGAATCTCTCTATTTCCATTTTAATATTTGCTACTGTGAATATGAGGTCATTAAAATAGTATGAAGAAATTGTAAAAATGGCTTGATAGAAAATCTTTTTCCAATTGAAGAAAAATAAAAAGGAAATTCTCAATACAAAATAAGAATTGATTTTAGATACCATAAAATTCTTAATAAACGTCTTGAAAGAAGTCATGCTTGACATTGTTTCATTAATTTATTTAAGAATGCATTGAAATGATTTCAACTCAGCAAATCTAGAAAAAACAAAGAAAATTCTAATTACTAAGTCTTTATATACTTTCACTGTAAGCCAATCTTTTAGTTACTTCACATTTTCAAAGTTTCACAAAGTAATCACAATAAAATTAAATATCATGTCATATTCTATTTTAAATATCAGTATTTGCACCATTTGATACAAATTATAGATAGAACCTAGATGACACATGCCTAGCAATGCAGTTCACACTTGGCACTCCTTTTACACTTGCAGTAGAAATCCCTCTCATTACAGATTTCCATGGAATTTTTTAAGTAACAAGCGAAATGTCCTTTGTACTGTATATTTTTGTTTCTTTTGAAAATAATACAACAATCTATATTTTTCACTCTATGTGTCTTACATGAACAGGTATATAGACAAGATCCTGTCCTTGAAGAAATGTTTGGTCCAATGTGTAAATATGGAAATACATTTGATATAATTTCCAAAATTGTATTTTCATTTATGAGTGGTATAATTCATTTATTTTAAAATTACACCTGTGAACATACATTGATTATACAAATTAATGTGTCACTGTGATATTTCCAAACCCAAGACATCATGCTTTGATCACACCCATCTTGCCTCCTTCTTTGAGCCAGGAGTGTTGGAAGAGGAAGAGCTGACTCACAGATTTCATGTGAGCCATTTCTGTAGGGCTGCAGCCTGTGCAGTGAGAAGATAGCTGAGTACTCTTCTGTAACTTCTGCATCAGCTCAGAACTGCTACTAATATTTTTGAACGAGAATATAATTGGACATTTTTCATCTATTCCCAACTGATTTTTTATTACCTACAGCACAATAAAACTGGCTAGTTACTTCAAACTTACCTAAGGGAAGGATCAAGAAATGGACACATTTTCAGTGCCTGCTGTCTCCTATAGAGCTCGCCAGCATTCAGCCAGGTGTGCATCTCTGTGAATCAGCACAAATGGGCAGACAATTGCATAACCAAGGGTCATGAAATTTCGAATATTCAATAAAATGAAATTATTCTCCAGGAAAAAATTAATAAATATAGAAAAAACACAATCTGTCCAATAAAAGAAAAGAAAACAAAGCATCAGAAGAAGAATACTTCGAGCCGCTTTGATCTCAGGGGGAAGTTTGTAGAGAGACTTGGAGATCTGTAGGCGGAGAACACGCTGGTGGTGTCTGTGGAGAAGAAACACCATGTAGCCACTGGCTGTGCCCATGATGCCCAGAAACATTACAGCTCGTATGATCATGACAGTGAAAAATGTCCATTTTATTTTCTGGTTTTCTGGACGAAAATGACAAGCTTTATGGTTCCTACTGTCTTTTGATGTGTTCATGGTTGTACTTGTGATAGAAAAGAGTAAGTTCATGCCTATTGAGGAATTAAGAACCCAAAAGAAAAGACACAAGTGAAGGATGTGCCATGGAGACCTGAACTTGAGCTTCCTCCATCTGGAGTGTGCGGGACTGATGGTGACGGCCTGGACCACCGTGAGGAGAGCACTGGTGCACATGGTCAGGCTCGGGGCCACCCTCTCCAGATAAGCCACAATCTTGCAGCCTGTGTCATCTAGGAAGTTTCTCACACCAAAAGGCGCTATTATACTTGGCATTCCCTTGGAAAGAAGAGTTATGGTATTTGTAATAGCCAGATGGAGGAGAATAAGATGTATGGATTTTTTTCTCATTGCCTGCAAATAGGAGCACGTAACTCACAAAAACAGAGATGTTCCCCATAGTGCCAAGGCCAGTTAGAAAGGCAAAGATTGTTCCCTTGATAAAGTTAGATAACATTTCTTTTTTCATAGGTGAAAAAATTGATTCAGCACATACCTTTTGAAGAAAGCATCACTAATGAAAACACACATATCTGTAAAACATACTTTGTGTCAGCAGTTTTCTGGAGTGTAAGAGACAATCATGCTGTGTAATGATGCAGAGTTTTATCAAAATGACTTTATGCCATTTCCTGTGGCACTCCTGTAGGGAATTCTAAGTGCTTTCAAATGCTAGTTTGAGAGACCCTATTCAAAACTGTAAATTAAAATCCCAGATTTTCTTTACCTACAAACTAGTAAAAGTAATCTACTTGTTAAAATCCTTATATACTCTATCTATGTTCAACAGAAATATTGCTGAGTTGCTTGTGAAATCCTCCAAACCAGAATTCCTTCCTATGCTGGCATTTAATTTTATCAGATTCCCTTCAATCAATTTCAAAAGAGCATCAATGGTATGGAATGATGTCACTCAAATAGTGTCATCATAATACTTGACACCTGTTATGTGACTGGGAGAAACCATGCTTTTGCTAACTTTGTAGCCTGATTTCTGTCTCTTTTTTTCCCCAGTCAGCAGAACAGTAGGGCTGGTTTGGTCTTTTTCAGCTGAAGCTCTCTCTCTCTGTGTGTGTGTGTGTGTGTGTGTGTGTGTGTGTGTGTAGTGTGTGTGTCTGTGTGTCAGACTTGGAAAGGATTTTACTCTTTCACAATTAGGAACTCCAATATCAGTGTTTCACAGACAAATTTATGTCAGAGTATATACTCTACTTCCTACAGAACACTAAAGAGATTGTACAGCTCTGTAGCAAAGGCCTCTGAGAAACTAAAGTACACAAAAGTAGGCTTGATCCAAATTTGGCTTTAGCTGGTACCACGAATGTGGGATACCAGTTAATGTTTTCACCTTGCCTGACAAGTTGAAAGCCATTTGCTACACCAAAGCAGCATAGAAACAGGACACTCTGCGAACTACCCAGAGCATAATGAAATATGCTACAAGATTGGCCTCACTCAGCAGAGCTGCCTAAAAAGTCTAGAATAAGAACTGATCAAGTGTTCAGTCAGAGATTGGAATTTGCAGTCTAAAATGTGATCATGATATTTGAAGTCATCTTAAAATAAGTTGTGTAATTTTAAAAATTATTTGATTTTCTTTATTTAATGCTTAGATGTGTCCAGGCCCAACCTAGAGTAATTTTCAGATGGCTGTTAATTTGGTTGTCCAAATACTTAAAAATTGTTCTGTTTGTTTTCATAACTCATTATTCCACTTGACATCAATATACATAATGTTTATTCTTCCCTTTTAATTATTGATAATTATGAAAATAATAATTAAAATATATTTTTCATGCTTCAAAAAAAAAAGTTATTGCGATCAATACATCTCAACATCCTGAAGGGGTTTTCGATGTTTTCCTGTTTGTTTTTTACTGTATGTTTAGTCTAAGGCTTTCATCTGCTCTCTCTTCCTTTCCTCAACTCCAAAGCTCTGAATCATGCTAGAGACCAGATGTGAGACATTCGGTGACATCGTTTTCTCTCTCACAGGGTAAAAATGTCAGAGGAGAAAGAAGTGAATTTTCATCTAGCATGACTTGGTAAATTTTTTTATATACTTTTTTGTCTTTGTTAAATTTATTGGTACATTTTAGGTATACAGTACAATTACATTCATTATAGGGATCTTGTACCTTTACATGACTTATCTTGGTTCTTACTTTTCCCCATTCCCCAGCCATCCCTTCACTTCTTCCACCCTCCCCAGTTTAAAAGACATTGTTTCCATTTTTTTCCTTTTCACTTACTATTTTTAAAGACAAGGATTGCATGCAGATAGATATATGATGTCTCATCTGGTTGCAATAACTTGTGATTTAGAAAGATGAGATCATTCATCTCAGGCTGAATTTTTTAAGTAAATTACTAAAATTAATGCTCTTTGCTTAATAGAATGAGGACAAAATTAATGTCAGTTATTTCATGTTATTGAAACTCTGCCTAGGAACTCCGCGGTGAGAATTCCCTAAAGAGCAACTGTACTTTTTATTCTTAATAATTGTTAATAGTTCTCCTACTGAACATATGTATAATAAACTAAGTTGCTCGCACATACATAAGTATTAGCATAAGGAGGCTTTTGTGTCTGCGTGTAGAGATTAAGTTAAACAGCAATGCATTAGTGGAGTACACTGCAGTGAAAAATCACACAGTTTGTCCGTACTGAAGTATAGAAATGAACCAAAAATGAAACATTCACATTTTATAATAGGTACATTTTATATAGGTACTCACATTCACATTTTATATAGGTACTCACAGAGTCCTAGTGCAAGGGAAATCTGAGGAAAAAGAAAACAGAGTATTCCACAGAAACCTGAAGGCATCTGCATCATTCTGATTATTCAAGGCCAGTAAGGAGGGAACTTTATGCGAACGCCCACCCAGGGCTCTCCCATGCCTCAGACCATGGACACAGGCACAGAGAGGGCTTGGTGTGTCAGAATAATGACTCATGGTATTGCTGACCTTTTTCTTTTATCTGAGGTGCTTGCATTATAAAGATCTCTGGAAAAAACAAGGGCCCTTAGGCTCACAGACCTTCTGAACAACTTCTTACCTTGTCAAATATAGGTAAGTTTTAGGTTTCTGAGAGAACATCTGAAGACAGCTTGGTGCAAGTAAATGCGCCTGTGAAATCTACTCACCTTGGAAAGTGTGCTGTGTTCAACTCCACGGTGAGTCTCCCTGCAAGGTGAGGCTCCCCAGTCACATTTATATGTTCAAGGCTTGATGAGCTCTTGGCTACCACAAATCCTCTACAGGAGTTTAATTTTCTATATTGTCACCCTGTCAGGGAGAAGGAAAACCTCTGCAGAACCCCGGTGTACAATTTTCCCTCTGCCCCTACAATTACTGTGTTAGTTTGACTCAGAAGTTGCCTTGGGCTCAGTTGGGCTTTAATTATTCTGAGAAGACTGCACAGTGAGACAGCAAACAGCCAGCCATGTTACTGTATCTAGGGTTCCCTGCTTTTCAGATCCTTCCTTCAATTCCTAAAGTTCCAAAGCATGATTCAGAATGGGGAGCAGTTTCTTAAACACAGAATAAATCTCTCTTCTTTCCTCCACAAGGCATGGACCAGTGATGATTGTTTGGCTTTCTGAGCTCTTCCCGACCATGCACACAGGCAGGATCAAAGCCATCTTGCTCTATCAGTCTATGAACTTGACCGATTATGGCCTTTGTCATAAGCTGGAATTTTCCACCTCCGTTAACATTCCATGTGAAGTGACTCCTGCTTTCAGTCGACCAGTCCTGGCATCTGCACTGCAGAGGAGCCCCTACCTCATCCTCACTGAAATTGTTGCTCCATAAATGAAAGAAGAGCCCTTGGAGACAAGTGCATTTTCATCTCCAATTTTGAACAAGGAAATCAAAGCAGAGTTACATGAGTACGTTGTCAAGACATACACAAAGCTAAATAAAAATACGAGTATGAAATATTTTTCTGGGACCAAAAAATGGCACTTGGCTTTTCTTCACTTTTTGTGCATTTTTTGTAGAAAATGGGCATTTTGTATTTCTTTCCTTGCCCCTTTATCTCAAAAATCTTTCCAAATCTTTAGAAATCTTTCCAAAGGTAAATTATGCTTTTGCAGTTTTACACTCCAGGAAGCTTTCTCAAGGCTCTGGAGCCATTCTTAGACTTGTGCTCATCCAGGAACACCATTCCCTATTTTCAGGTTTCCACAGTAATGATGTAGTTTTGGTTCGCCCTGTGCCTTCTTCCATTCTTCTCTTACTGTGTTAGGAGAACTCACTTTATTTACTTTTTGATACATATACTTATTTTGATATATATCACATCTTCTTTACCCACCCATGAATCAATGGGCACCTAGGCTCTTTCCATAGCCCGGTTATTACGAACTGCCCCACAGTAATCACTGGAGTCCGGGATCTGAGTGGAGTTCTGACTAGCTCTTCCAGAAGCACCTGAGAAGGGTGTAACGGAGCAAATGGGAGCTCTATACTGAATTCCGCAGCAGCTCTTCTCACTCACATTCCCACCTACAGAATGTGAGAGTTCCTTTCTTCAGGCATCCTAACCACCGTTTGTTGTTTATTCTTGACAGTATCCATGCTGACGAGTGCGACATGGAAGCTCAATGAAGCTTGAAATTGCCTTTCCTACCGCTAAAGATATTGAATATTTTTCATATACTTATTGGTCATTTGTATTTCTTTTTGAGAACTGTCTATTTAGTTTTGCTTATTTATTATTTTGGGAGTGTTTTTGTTTTGTTTTTGAGCTCCTTGTATATTCTAAATATTAATCCTCTGTAAGAAGAGAAGCTGGCACAGGTTTTGTTGTTTTACAGGCTGACTCTTTCCTCTGTTAATTAATTTCTTTTTGTAGGAGCTTTTTAATTTGATGCAGTAAAACTTTATCAATTCATTTTCTTTTCTTTTTTTCCTCATTGATTTTATTGGTGCTTTTTAGGTATACAGTACAGTTACATTCATCACTGGAATCTTGGACCTTTACATGACAGGTCTTGGTTCTCATTTTTTCCCCATTCCCTTGCCCTCCCTGCATCCCCTCCTCCTTTCCCTATTTACAGAAACTTTGTTTTCATTTTCTCATATGTTTTTCTGTTCCCTTATTGCCTTTCCTCTACCCTTCCCACTTCCTCTACACCTTTAGCCCTTTTCTTCCTATTTCACATTGTCAGTTATACCATTGGATCTTATTTACACTTTTAGCTTTTTCGCACCAGAGAAACTATTCAGTATTTTCACATGTGTGACTTACTTATTTCACTTAAGAGTGTGACCTCAATATGCATCCATTTTCCTATGAATGTCTCTAATTTCTCATTCTTCATGGCTGAGTAGTATTCCATTTGATTAAAAAACCACCTCTTCCTTATTCAATCTCCAACTGATGGGCAATTGGGTTGTTTCCAAGTTTTAGCTATTATAACTCATGCTGCTATAAACATGTGTGGTATAGATCACTGTGGT